GAGAACTTGAACAAGCACTGATCAACCAACGGAACTGGGAAGGAGATTTTTGAGAATCTATGTATTCAAGTGAGTGAAAAAGGAGATATGGTTATATAGCAATACTAATATTATAAACTATATTATACTCAATATTTATGAATATGGGAGCTCAGTCTAGCCTGAAAAATAAATAATGTAGCAGCTTCGGTTATATATTTATCTAGTGAGTTCCAAAATAATGATCCACTGTGTTTAAGAGTTTGTTTTCGTATTGTTGTTCTGACTTTGTTGGTATGAACTCTGTTGGCATTCCGCGTTTCGTAACAGTGCATATCTTTGTTAAGGATGAAATAATTCCTATAAAATGTTGCGGAAAAATTGAGGACTTGTCAAAGCATCTATACATAAAAGAACCAGTTTGAAATTTATTAATGGCATGAAGCCATAAACATCAAGTAACTTGAATTTTGAAAAAGTGGTTCAGTAGAATCTCGATATCCAACATTAGCAATAATACGCACTACACGTTTTTGCAATTTCATGATTTTATGAAGATTAGTAGGGTATGTTTTAGCCCAAACTATGTTACAGTATTGTATATACGGTAACACCAAGGAGCAATATAAAGTTCTTCTGCGGGGCTACTAATAAAATGCTTTACTTTGTTTATGACACCAATAGATTTAGCCATCTTTAGGGCAACGTGTGAAATATGTGGTTTCCAGTCTAAATGTTCGTTTATATAAGTTCCAAGAAATTTAGTGGCAGCTAAGCTAACGTTAACTCCTGGGCGACACACCCCATTAAAACTAGGTCAATAATGCTTATGACACGAAATTTCACCCCAAATGTTTATGATTGCATTGTAAAGATCACTTAAAATAACTTAATAATTTCTTTTATAGAATTTTGGTAACTTGCTTCCTTTGCAAGATGTTTAACTTTGTTTCATATGCAAATATCACCGGTGTGACATCACATCACATAAAGACATTTTGAAAACGCAATATTTTACCTTGATAAAATATTTTTACAAACAAATACAGAGGGTTAATTACCAGAATACCAGTTATGAAATTAATACATATAGAAGGGCAATTTTTAAGTTTTTTAGATATGTGTTCGTCAAGCAAACCATATTTTCCCGAAAACTCGTTATGTGATGTGATGTCACACTGGTGATATTTGCATATGAATATCTTGAAAAGGGAGCAAGTTACCAAAATTCTATAAAAGAAATTATTCAGTCATTTTAAGTGATCTATACAATGCAACCATAAACCTTTGGAGTGAAATTTCGTGTCATAGGCACTTTAACCTTTTAATTTTTATAGAGTCAATAAACACATTTAAATTGTCTCGTCTTGGAATGGGTTTATTTCTTGCGCGAAAAATTATATAATTCGTTTTCTTTAAATTGAGTGAAAGTTTATTTGCTTTAAACCAGTCCGACAGTTTATCAAGTTCACAATTAATTTTACGGATAAGTATGGCAAAATCTCTGTCGGAATGATACTTGCTAGTATCATCAGCAAACAGAATAAAATTGAGAAGATTAGAGCAATTGGCAATAGCGTTAATGTAAAGAAGAAATAAAAGTGGTCCAAGGATAGAACCTTGGGGAACACCACATGTTACAGTCATTTTTGAGGAGACCGTCTCACTAAATTTCACAGTTTGTTTCCTATCACTTAAATAATCTTTAAACCACATAAGTGGAGTACCTCTAATACCGTAATGGTTGAGTTTACTCATAAGAATTTTGTGGTCCACAGTATCAAACGCTTTTGATAAATCAACAAATATGCCTATAGTATATTCATTGTTATTTTTCAAATTGCTTCGCCAATGAGCTCATAAGTTTGTATATCAGATACAGATCGGCTAGTCATGTTTTATCTAGTACATATCTAGCCCGCCTGCAGGCCCAAGGGAAGAATAGTGGGCCTGCAAGCAAGGCCCGGTATTTTGTAAAACGCCCCTTTTCATAACACGCCCCATTCGCGCGTCAATTGTCAAAAAAGAACCAATGACAGCAACCCAAATATTAACAAACAAACTCGCATTAAAATGTGGCGGGGTTTTCTCTGCTTTAATATTCAAAATAGAAACAATGTGTAAATGGCTGTGTTTTAACTCCAAAAAAGCAAGCAACGCAGTCAGTAATTGCCAAATTTGCAAGTGCTCATTTTCAACTAAAATCGGAACAGGCAAATTAGGACGAATTTCAACAGAAAACCAGTCTCAAACTTCAAATCGTGAGGGAAGTCGTGCGACTACATTAGCATTTAAATGTGTGCTTCGCTGTCGCCGTTGTTATAAATAAATTGTCTCACTTTAATATCAGATCGTGTGTGCAATTCTTGTTGAATGTTGGAGGCGGAAAGTACGAAATTTATTTCAGTTATTTCATTTGGTAAAGAACTCTACAAAAGAAGAGGGTTCAGAGTCCAGATCGTTTCGTTTAATCAAACGGCAGTTGATACCGTCTTCTGTTTCGCTCTCTCAGCGAAGCCTTGCAAATCGCAAAGTGTTTCGAATAGGCTTTATACATGCAACTGCCTCTAAATCTTCACAGCAAGATTTAGAGGCAGTTGTGCAAGAACAGAGTGCAGAGTCAACATCAACCAAAAGATAATTTTTTTGAGGAACATACTGTATAACATATCAAGTCTGTTTGAAATTAATGAAACTCAAGTGATCAGTAAGATCTCAAGGTCAAGTAAGGTATAATAATAATACTATAGTTTACCCCGGCAGTCGTATTAAATGTTGCTATTCCAACACTTCACGACAAGAAATCCCCATTGGCATAACGGCAAAAAAATCTCTTTTTTCAAATAAACAATAAACAGTCTGTTCTTGTTCCATTTTTAATCGAAAAAAGTGATCAATTTTCGAATTTTAAGCTTATCGAGAGCCTTTGTGATGAATCAGTGATCTAATTATACAATCCAACAGCAAACAGCCAATCAGAATGCCGCGTTCGTGGGCGAACGCGGAAAGTACAAAATACCGGGCCTTGCTTGCAGGCCATAGATATAGGAGATCTAGATTGCTAACGCATACCTAGCGCAGGCGGGGCCTACATGATAAATCCAAGATGGCGGTACAACAGGGCAAAAAGACTATAGATTCTATTACAAAAATCAAGATTTTTGCATTTTTTGCCGTCGCATTGTTTTGAAACTTATTCGGTCAAATTTTATGGTAAAGAGAAACTTACCGCGAAGATTTTGAGCATATTTATGATTGAATTGGATGAAAACTCGCAAAATTATCCAGCGATAAAAGTTCGTGTGAAATGGTCAGTTGGTCAGTTGGATCGTTTTATTGCCAGAAATACTGTGCTATGTTAACATTTAGTCTTGTGAATGGTGTTTTATACTTGCATCTTTCATCATCATCTGCTCTGTCCTCATAATTATGAAAAATGAACTGTTATGTACCACCCCCCCCCCACCACCCCCCCTCCTTGCTTGTTAGAGAAGTAAACTTGTGAGAGCGCTGGGTGAGGGTCTATCATCTATGGTCTGTTATAATTTGCTTTTTATGCAAATAGTGAGCAAAAATTAAAGCAAAACTGTACAAGTTACATATATAGTACTATATCAGTACTATACACGAACTTTTATCGATGGATAATTTTGCGAGTTTTCATCCAATTCAATCATATATATGCTCAAAATCTTCGCGGTAAGTTTCTCTTTACCATAAAATTTGACCGAATAAGTTTCAAAACAATGCGACGGCAAAAAATGCAAAAATCCTGATTTTCGTAATACAATTTATAGTCTTTTTGCCCTGTTGTACCGCCATCTTGGATTTATCATGTAGGCTCCGCCTGCGCTAGGTATGCGTTAGCAATCTAGATTTCCTATATCTATGTTGCAGGCCCACTATTCTTCCCTTGGGCCTGCACGTGGGCTAGTACATATCAATCGAATGAGAGAGACTGACGATTAATTCAATTAAAGCCATATAAGTTGAGTAATTCTTTCTGAAACCATACTGATTGCTAAATAATTCTTTCCAATATTTTTGAAAATATTGGAAGAATGGAAATTGGCCTATAGTTACCAAGGTCTACCAAACGATTTACGGTCATCAGATTTATAAACAGGGGTTATCATAGCCTCTTTTAATTTGTCAGACACTCTGCCAGTATTCATGGATTTATTGAAAACATTTGACAAAATAGGAGCTAATGGTCCAGCAAGTTGTTTAATAATAAATGGGTCTATGAAATCAATCCCACAGGATTTATTTGCGTTAGGTTCTGAGATAAGTTTAGTTATTTCATCTTCATTAGTTTCAAACAGTACAAACGAGTGCATGTTAGATCCTTTAAGGTAGTGAGTTAAATTAACAGAAGTATTAGGAATTACTTTTGCTAGATTAGCGCCAATGTTGCATGGCAAAGTATTTATTGAAAGAATTGGAGATTATCTGAGGGTCAGCAGTCTCAGTATCATTGAAATGGAATGATTCAGGGTAAATAGTTTTAGATTTTGGTTTTCCAATTAGGTCATTAAGGATTCTCCAAGTATGCTTCAGATCAGATTTGGCAGATTCAAGTTTCATTGTAAAGTAACGCTTTTTTGCGATTTTGAGAAGATGATTCAATTTGTTCCTATGATTTAAATTTTTGTTCAGTTGGTGAATTCCTTTCTTTTAAGAACTTTTTATTTTGTTATACGTACCAAGTTCGTTATAAGCTAAATGAATTATACCCGAGATAAACTTAAAACTTTATTTAAAATTACGGCAAGCAAGTTAACAACCTTGCCACTCGACAGCCACAATCACACTAATTGCATGCTTTTGTTCAGTGTAATTTAATATATGCTGTTCACGGTTAACTGCACGCATACACACATATAACACAATATAAATACACACATATAACACACTCCCCCTCTTAAGTTCCAACCCGTCCTGGGTGGACTTTACTCACACATACAGTCATATAGTTACGTTTATCTTGAAGAAAATTATTGTTCCAAACTCCCTGTTCCCTAAATTTCCAACCGTACTGGTGTTCTTCGTTCTCTGGTACTTCTTCTCAGCGCCGCCGGTTCCTTTTCTTGCCTGACTTCGACTCCCTCTTCTCTTGACAAAACTTGGGGAACATTCTCACCAACGTACTCTCTTAGACGGTTACGATGCACCACCATTGGTTTACTGCCACTCGAAAGTTCAATCCCATATACCAAACCGTTAATTCGTTTCAGAATAACATAAGGACCGACCCAAGGCTTGGATAGTTTAGGAGATAGTCCTTTCTTTAGCTGTGGTCTGTACAGCCATACAGGGGTTCCAACGCTCAGTGTTACCGCCATCGCATTAATATTGTACCGTGTTTTCATCCGATCTGTCGTGATCTTCAACCGTTTCCGTGCAAAACTATGTGTAATATCCATACCTTCTTCCAACTTTTCCACGTAAGACAACGTTTTCACGTAATTCTTCTTAGAAGGAATCCCTATCAGCAAATCCAAAGGGACTCTTAATTCTCGTCCCATCATCACCTTTGCTGGTGTGAGTCCCGTTGACTCGTGGGTAGCTGTCCGATAAGCCATCAGCAACAGAGGTATATGTTCATCCCAATCTTTCCGGTTCTCGTTTACAAAAATTGCCAACTGATGTTCTATAGTTCGATTAAACCGTTCCACCATTCCGTCGGACTGGGGGTGTGGAGGCGGAGTTCTAGTTTTCTTTATTCCAAGCAATTTACACATTAATTTCAGAAAATACCCGAGACTCAAAGTTCCTCCTCTGGTCTGAGTGTAATTCAACAGGCGTCCCAAAACGAGAAACGAATTGATCCACCAATACCTTCGCTACTGTTTCTGCCTTCTGGTTGGGAAGTGCATATGCTTCCGGGCATTTTGTAAAGTAATCCATAGCGATAGAAATATACTTGTTGCCATTCTCAGAAACTGGTAACGGTCCCAAGACGTCTACAGCCACTCGTTCCATTGGCGATCCCACCACGTAGGAAGCTAATGGCGCCTTTATCTTCCTCGACGGACCTTTTCTTGCAGAACATAAATCACACTGAGCGCACAACTTTTTAACATTATCTCGTAACTTCGGACAATAAAATTTTTCTTTTATCTTTCCGATTGTTTTATTGATACCAAAATGTCCTCCCGTTTTCGAATCATGCAGAAAGTCAAATATCTGTTTTCGTAGAGTTTTAGGCACCACAATTTGCAAGGTCTCGTCACTAGCGCTTGGATGTTCCCAAACCCGATACATAATTCCATCGACCAAACGAAGACTGTCCCATTGTGCCCACAGTGTCTTCGTTTCTTCCCCGAAAGGCGCAACAACTGCCCCGGCCCTTTTTCCCATCTTTCAACGCCTCGATTAAGGACTTCATGTTACCATCTTCACCTTGTTTCTCCTTCCACTTATCCACGTCAACCGGAAGTGTTTCGCTATCTTTCTTTACTGATCCCCTATTTGTTTCGGTTTCTTTGATAACAGGTCTTGTCACTCTGCTAACTGTTTTTAGCTGAAATCTCTCTTCATAACGTACACATTGTCCTCAAAGCAAATCCGATGCATCGGTGTCCAGACAGAACTCGCCGTCTAAATTAGGACAAGCCAAAATCGGAGTTGATGTTAACAACTGTTTCAATTTCTCGAACGATCTCTGACATTCCTCTGTCGACGCAAACTCACAATTCTTTTCGGTTAGTCGATATAGATAGAGGTCGGGCAACGTCTGCGAAATGAGGAACGAATCTTCGATAATACGTACATAATCCGAGAAAACTTCTAACTTCTGTCTTGTTCTTTGGTTCTGGCCACTTAGAGACCGCGCATCAGTTTTTCCTGGGTCAACTGCGATACCCGAACCACTCACGATATGTCCAAGATAACGGACGGTTCTCTGGAAAAGATGACACTTTTTCGGATTCAACTTTAATCCTGCTTCTCGTAACCTTTGAAAAACAGTTCGAAGATTTGAAAATTGATTAGCTAATGTTCTTTCATGCATGATGACATCATCCAAATATATTAGGCACACCGTCCACGGCAATTCTTGAAGTACACGCTCCATAAATCGCTGAAACGTTGCCGGGGCGTTCGAAAGGCCAAAAGGCATAGCAATGAACTGCCACAAACCTTCACCAGCTGTGAACGCGGTCTTCTCTTTGTCGCTCTCCTCCATTCTCACCTGCCAATACCCACTCTTCAAGTCTAATGTTGAGAACCAACTCGAACCATTGATAGCATCAAGAGTTGTGTCTACCCGCGGGAGGGGATATGAATCACGTTTGGTTACCTTATTTAACCTTCTATAATCCACGCAGAACCTTTTACTCCCATCTTTCTTCTTAACTAGAACTATAGGAGAGGTCCAGGGACTTTGTGAAGGCTCTATTAGGCCGTATTCCCTGGCCCCAAAAGTCGCTTAGAAAACGATTTTTGTTGCCCCCCTTCGGGCACTACTTTAAATTTACATGAATCTATAGATGTTTATACGCTGAGTTCGAATTCACTTGTTGTCACTCGCACAAACCTGCAGTTTTTTTGTATTTTACGATCAAACATCAACATTTTTTATTAACATTTCCGCCATTTTGTTCAGGAAACTTCATGTTATATACAGTTATTGTACTAGTTCAAGTCTCTTAGCAGGGGGGTTGCACGCGGTATTACGCATTTTTTATCATTCTTTTGAGGAAAATATAGAGAAATAAATAAAAATATAGATATGTTTCCACAATATTAAAGTGCGAAAGGTAATAATACATGTTTGTAAATAATCAGGAACTAATCTACTGTTCTTGTCATCCATAAAGACTCACTTGTCCTTGGTAAAGTTGTTTATTTTATTTATTATTGAAATTATGTACATAATTTTAGCCTTGCAATATGAATAGGCAATTTTCCTGGGTATTGTCTACCTGAAATTTTTGTCAACAATAAAGTTTTGAAGGTTTTATCCCTCAGAGAGATTTCAAAATAAATTTTAACTTTGAAACTTTCTAATCTCCTAGACGAGCCAGCCCAGGTAACCCGAGTTGATTTCATCCCATGTTTACAAGAGACTTTTGAGGCGGGCTGGTTTGCCAAAACAGATCACTGTTATAAATAGTATAATATATTTTTTACTTCTCAAGATCTTGCCTTGACAGGCCAGCCCAGTTCCATATAAATGCAAGATGAATATTAGTTTAAATTACATAGTGACATTAGATCTTGGCAAAGCGAGCTAGCTCGGGTATCCGGCTGGCTTGGGTACCCCCTAAGGAAATGAAGAAATGTTATTTACATCAATAGATTGATGTGAATAGAGTATTATTTAATGCCCAGCTGTTATCCAAGATCTAAGGCATGGAAAAAAGAGTCTTGGCTAGGCAGCTAGGCTAGCCCAACTGGAAAGAAGGTTTGTGTAACTAATGCATATTGGTAGGTATAGTGATCCCAGATTACTTTAATTAAATTTCTAGTGCCTGCTGGCCAAATATAAATTAATAAAGTATCCCTCCTCCAAGTGCTTGGTAATGAGTGGCAGCTCAAATAGGATTAGAGCTTATTAAGGTGAGGATGTATCATGACAATATGTTGTTAAACCTCATTATGGCTCAACCAATTCAAATGGCTCGACCAATTCATGTCTCTACGTGGCATGACTTTGAGATTTGCTTGTGTGAATATAATTTTTTGCTTAGTACCTTTGTTCCAGCAAGCCCATGCATATGCTTGCCTCAACAGTGTCACATAAATTGAAACACCAAGCAATTAAGCTATTGTAGCTGTAATCAATTGGGGCTATGTCCTGTATGGCCACCATTTGCTAATGTAAATACTTTAATAACAATAAAGTGATTAATTAAAAAAATATGGCTAATCTAGGCTGGGTTAACTCCATATAAACAGACCAAAAGTAAGCTGTCAGTCTGTCTTAGAGTGAAAGACATCTTCCAAAAGTTTTTTTTACAAAGCTCAATGTCATGATAGCAAAAATTTTATTATAATACAAGAAAATGGAACATACCATAGTTAATAGAATAGATGGTTTGGAAACTCATTAGAATAACAATATATATACCTCATTATCTACAGGTATGTTAGTCAACGTTTACAGAGGTGTAACTGAACACTTGCCCGGGGCAAGTGAATATCATGACGGGCAAGTAAACGTTTTATCTAATTATCTTGCCCAATTGGGCAAGTTGCCTCTTGCCACAAAAAGCTCGGCTTTCATTATCGGATAATTTTTTATGGCGCATGTACTTGATTCAAATTTTGTTTTTTGTGGGCCAAAGCTAGATCTAAGGCAGTATAACATAGCCACATTGAGAATGAGTCGACATGTTGCACCCTTGATTTATACCCCCTGGCGAATGAATTTTATTCAGGGCAACTAATTTTCATGTCCAATTAACTTGCCCTGAGAGCAAATGGTCAAAAAAGTAAAGTTACACCACTGGTTTATTCATAAATCTGGTCTCTGTATTTTTGCCCAACTAACCAATAGCAATGTCTTAGGAAAGTTACCTATCCGTAACTCGAACAATAGGGTAAACTGAAAATTGCAAGAATACAAGGTGGATTTGGCAAGAATACAATACACACATGACGATGAAGGACCAGATTTATGAATAAATGTTGACTAACATAAATAATGAGTTTGAGAGTTTCAGCCAAACCATCTATTCTATTAACTGTGATGGAACTCATTATGTGCAGATTTACTAAATGGATGAGCTAATTTGATTGAAGTCAACTGCTACTAATGGACAATGGTCTATTTGTGTTAATAAATTACCTAGGTGACTAGGTCTAACATTTTATACTAAACAACAAATTGGTCTAACATTTATTAATTAAACAAGTATATTGTGCTCCTTATTCATTGTTAACAAAAATTTGAAAGAAAAATTGCCTATTCACATTGTAAGGCTAAAATTATGTACATAATTTCAGTAATAAATAAAATAAACAACTTTACCAAGGACAAGTCAAGTGAGTCTTTGTGGATATAGACCATATAGTGACAGTCTTTGCAATTTCACATCAAGGTGAGGCCAAAAACCCAAAAGTTGGCGCAATAAAGAATAGTAGATTAGTTCCTGATTATATACAAACATGTATTATTACCTTTTGCATTTTAATATTGTGAAAAAATATCTATATTTTTATTTCTGTATATATTTTCCTCAGAAGAATGATAAAAATGCGTAATACCGCGTGCAACCCCCCTGCTAAGAGACTTGAACTAGTACAATAATTGTATATAACATGAAGTTTCCTGAACAAAATGGCGGAAATTTTAATAAAATATGTTGATGTTTGATCGTAAAATACAAAAAAACTGCAGGTTTGTGCGAGTGACAACAAGTGAATTCGTACTCAGCGTATAAAAATGTATAGATTCGTGTGAATTTAAAGTAGTGCCCGAAGGGGGGCAACAAAACTGAACGAAAAGCGGTCAGGGAATACGCCCTATATTTTCGCATTTGCATTTCTTCAATTAACTTGTTTCGTCTTGTTTGCTTCCTCCCTCTGCTTTATTGGAAGTCTCCTTGGTCGCTGTTTGACTGGAATTGCTTCTCCAACATTAATCTTATGCGTTGTTATGCTTGTGCTGCCTAAATAATTTGGTCCACTTGAAAACATATCCTGAAATTCTTTAAGCAATTCAATCAATTGAGTTTTGTGTCCTTCTCCAATAAAAGTCTTGCTTCGACGGTACAAATCCACAAGATGTTCGGGAAGTTCCCTATCACCTCCTTTGTCTTTATGGATTGTTGCCGAATCTTCTTCTTTGGAAGGTTGATGTTCCAAATTTCTGACACACGCAACAGGTTCACACGTTGCTATTTCTGTCCCCTTCTTCAATGAAATATAAGGGACCAGTCATTATTTATGGCGGGGGGGTGGCACCGAAGAGAAAAGGGTTGGGTAAACTAAATTTTGAGTAAGTAAAAGGTTGGGTAAGTGAAAAACAAAACAACTCAAGGGTTGGGTAATAAAAAATAATTGTCATTTCCAAAGCATGACTCACTGAAATATTGGAGACTAAAAAGCATATGTAAATACAATATATGAATCAATCAGAGTCACTATTTTCCGATTTGTTGCGAGACAAATGCATGGTATCTCCAATTTAGAAACTTGGCATGTGCAGACAATATGAAACTTTAGGAGGCAGAACATTTCACAATCCGTTGTCAAACTTATGTCACAGAAATGGTAAAGGACATGGTGACAACTGAATGGTATCTTTTTGTAAAGTTTTCGGCCAGGGGTGGGTATTTATTTTTTAATTGATATTTGAGGTTGGGTAATCAAATTTTTGACTTTTTGGTGGTTGGGTCAACAAAATTTTTCCCACGAAAAACATTTCTCTTCGGTGCCACCCCCCACCATAAATAATGACCGGTCCCTAACCATTCGTTAAATTCATAACTCTTATCGGTAAATCATCTGCAGACAGGTCAACCAGTGTTCTAGCCACAAGTAGATTACGTTTCGAGTTTACCACGAATTCTACAACTGCCCAAGTGCGTTGTTCACCGCACTTATTCAGCTTTCCAGGGACTTATTCAGCTTTCCAGCTTCACTCATCGCTGGTACAGCAACTGTTCTTCGAACAACAATTCGAGTCAATCTATTCACCACCGGTCGCACTTGACCGACCAAAGGAACTTCGTCATCTCCTACCAACAGCAACTTTCCTGCAAGATTCACCTGACAATTGTTAGCCATTAAATAATTCAATCCGATAATTCCCTCTTCAACCATGTCGGCTATCCACACATCATGCTCCGTCTCACTGTTACCCACGGTTATATTCAACTTATCGCGTCCTCGCACAGGTGCAGTTTCTCCAGTAACTGTCCTTAAAACTGTCTCTGTTGGTAGAATCTTACCACTTCTTAACTCAATCACGTCCGGACGAACAATTGTGATGTTTGAACCTGTGTCCACTACACACTTACAGTGACTTACTGTACACCACCGTCCTTCTATCTTACTATCTTAGCATCCACCAACAAGGTATCTCCAACAGAGGAAGTTTTAACCACAAACTCAGGAGCATTTTCATTGTTCTTTTTAGCTGCCCTTCGCTCCTTAAGAGGAGCTAAACGGCGTTTCCCAAATTCCCTTTGGAAGCCCCGCTCGTTCTCGTTTCTTTACCGGCAAACGTCGGAACCCCGTCTTTAGCGGACTCGTCGTTTGTATTTATAACGTCACGTGCCGGACTACGTTTCGGGCACTCGTGGCAGAAATGACCTTCTTCTCCACATTTCCAACATTTCAGGTCACGTGGCTCTTTATTTCGAGGTGATTTCTGACTTACGATCTCTCATCAGAGCTTCCAATTTTTTCATCGATTGCGCAATTTGATTACTGGCGGCTTCCATTCTCTTGGCGATATCGAGTGTACTCGTAGTTGTACCCCGTGGTGTGAACTCACTTTGTACTTTTGTCTCACGTGAAACACGCATCCTTTGTTGAAGATTGGCCAGGTGGAAAGATTCTAACTCGAGAGCCAACTCCAACGCTCTTTGCAAGGTTTGCGGTCTTTCTGGACGGAGACGCAGGCGCATATCGTCATCAGGTAAGGAATCGACAAACTGGTCTCGAGCTAAAGTGTCAGTTATTGTTGGAGGAGCATCCGCATAAGCCAAGCGAGCAAGCCTTTCTATATCCTCGGCCAACGCAGGTAACCCTTCATCACGTTGTCGGACTCGATTTTTGAACTTTACTTTAGAAATCTCTGTACGGTGTGACGTGCCAAATCGACTAGCCAGAGCAGTTACTAAAGCTCGATAATCTTGTTTACGGTCATTGGATAAATTGGCCAACACTTGCAATGCCGTTCCCTTGAGACTGGTTGCCAAAAAGGCTGCCTTTTCCATATCATCCCATCCGTTCATTTCTGCTATTATGCAAAATTGGGCATAGTAAGTCATATCGAATATCAACATTTTGCGTGCGTATTTACTCCGTCTCTGTTTTATGGTACAGTAATATCATGATCGCCTCGTTTTCTATTGTTCTCATAGGGAATTTAAATCCCGTATTTTCCTCATTACGCATGCGACAGGGAATATTTCGCTTTGTCTACTAAATTTCCCCGGGAAATTTAGACTCCGTTTACACGGTACCGGACGAATTTGTGACCGGACGAAAATTCGTCCGTTTCGGCCGTGTAAACACACGAGAACCACGGAACCGGACGAATTTGAGACCCCCTAACAGGACGAATTCGCGTGTAAACAGGCGAAAAAGGACGAATTTCAGACCGGTCTCAAATTCGTCCGGTACCGTGTAAACGGGGTCTTAGTAAAAAACAAAAGATTTCTTTGTCTACTAATCTTCCCTCGTCAAAAATGCACGGGATGATTAGTAGACAAAGAAATCCTTTGTCTTTTACTAAATTTCCCGCTTCCATATTTAATGCAAACGGAAAACCTAAAACACTCAACAATTTTATTCAACATATTAAATTTTAAATGTACACAAGTATGACTTTGCTAAACTATTAAACGTCAAACTCCAACTCAAGACCAACTGTAAAATTTATGCTATCAACGTCCGTTTATATTTATGTTTATATTTATGTTTATATTTACGTGACTAGCAGTGGCTCTTTGAAGCAAACCACTTAGATTTATAGACGATTACTGTTGCTGTGTCTTTCAGTCATAGTCATCGAGTATACTAGCTAGCAGAGCATCATCAACATCTCCACCCAACGCAAAACCCTCTAGTTCTGCTGCTCCGTCATCAGATACCGTTTTCGATGCTGCCAAGACATTAGACACGACTTTCGTTTCATTTGGATTATCCCTCTTATATGTTCGCACTCCTTCGACTGAACGATGACCACTTCTTTTCATTATTTCCCTCTCCTGTATTCCAGCGTCATACATTCTAGTAATGGCAGTCGCCCTTAAAGAATGATTGCTGTAATTTCCTTCCTTGCACGTTTTAGAACACATTTCTTTCACACGTTTATCTAACGTGTTTTTTCCAATTGTTCGTCCTTCAAACCAAATTTCTGACCCACATGTCCATGACTGCTTCGGTTTTAGATAAAACAAGTCGGCAATATTTGTTGGGCTACAAAGAACAAACGACAAATGCACATAACTCATAAGATTAATATTTGATGGGCTCTATAATGCTACTAAATCTGGAAACACGATAACGAATACAAATACGCTTACCACTTTGATAAATAGAAGTTGTATATAAACGTAAAAGTCACATCAAAAGGATCTTCCACATGCTCTATCTGTTTCGGGTCTTTCTTTCTTCGTTTCAACCCACCTTGGTTTGTTTTGGACAATTTTTCAGCATATTTGATCAACATCATTCCGTCACGTTGTTCAACGAACTGAAACTGGTCATGACTAAGGTCACGTTGCTCTTGCCCGCCTCTTAACGCAAACAGCTTGCCAGTAAGAAACAGCAAAGTGTTGATCACGGTATCGGGTGTTTCTGTACCAAGAATACCTTCCTCCCACATTTTTCCTTCGTCATTTACAGAAATTGCATCTGCTCGTTTTCGGTACGGTGCCTGTTTTCCTTGAAGCTCTTTTAGTCGCCCGTCTAACGCGTTTTGAAATGGCTTTAATTGTGGCGTTGTAAACAAGCTTATTTCAGGCTTGCTTTCTTGGATCGTACGGTTCATACCACAAAACAAGCTATACAGTACTTCGTGTCTGTAATCGCTGCCAGGGGCGTAGGAAGCACCTGGAGTTTGGGGGGGGGCACCGGCTTGTAGGGGCACATTACTATCGGAAAGGGCACCGAAAAAATTTTTCCCGGAAATGTTATCGACGGGGGGGGGGGGGAAATTTCTCCTGAGGAAAATTTTCCGTCGTATCATACCGAAATTTATGTTTGTGACCTAATTTTTAAAAAAATTTGTAAATTTCCACACAAAAACGGCACCTATTGTTTTAATTTAGTATTTACAGCGACATTAGCTTCTACAAAAGGGGCACTTTTCCTCACAAAAAAGGGCACTTTTCAACACAAAAAGGGCACTTTTTATCACAAAAAAGGGCACTTTTAGTCCTTTAAAAAAATTTGGGGGGGGCACGTGCCCCCGTGCCCCCCCCCGCTTCCTACGCCCCTGATCGCTGCCATCTTTCTTCCTCACTTCTACAGCAAATTTGCTCAGCCAGTAATTAATTTCTTCCAAATTAATAGAGTCTAAATTTGGAATCCTCTGAAATTCGTTTCTTTCTGCCTGAAAATTTTTAAACTGCTCGTTCCTCTCTTTAACCCACGCGTTGTACACATTTGTACTCCACGTAGTGTGCCTTATGGTATTCTTTGGCACTCTATCTTTTCGAACATTTTCAACTGTCCGGTCTGGCGGTCTGACACAAAATAGAACCTTCCAGTTGCAGCCATATTCGAAAACTAAGCTTAAAATCAATGCAGTGATTTACATAAGTCTCACAACAACAAAGTATGTCCCAGAGGTACACTTATTTCAATCAATTGTCAAACTCATAAACAACTTCATTGAAAAATACAAAATCAAACAGCTAAACTTATCTCTGCAGCAAACTTTTTCGAGTTTTCCTCGGCGATCATAATATTACAAACTAATAACATGACTAGCCGGGAAATTAGCGATTAAATTTCCCTTCGCCTCGGGAACATTTGTGAAAGTCCTCGGGCTTCGTCCTCGGACTTTCACAAATCTTCCCTCGGCGTCGGGAAATTTAATCGCTAATTTCCCTCTGGTCATGTTATTACTTATAAATATCTCTGAAGGATTATAAGACGGAGCTGAGATGGATTATAAAAATATAGATTTCAACTCCGATATTGTCGCAATGTATTTAAAATTGCGCGAAGGTATGGCGTTGGCGTTCGATGCCGAATATTTGAGGAGCTATCAAAAAAGAAAGAAAACGTCTTTAAGGCAGAATTAAGTTGCTATACGGTTTAATCCATGATAAAAAGGGATATAATAGTATACTGAAAGATATAAGAGCCAAAACTAAAAGGAATATGATCGTATGAGCTCTATAAGGGATACAAAATACACTCTGCTGCAGTCTGTTGCTCGGAATATTACTCGAGTCAGCCCGGGTTGAGAATTGCTGACCCGGGTTGGCAAAAATTGTCGTCAACCCGGGTTCATGTAAACAGAATAAAAAAATTACCACCTGTGGCGTGCTGACCCGGGTTGAAAATCAACCCGGGCTCTCTAGCACTCATGCTTGGCGCTAACGGGTGATGCGTCCAATCTTCGTCACTTTTATACATCGGCGTAGCCATTGGGGTTGAAATTCTCTGTTCTTTCGGGGTTGGTCGATTTGTCTTAATTTCAGTGTGCTCTGTCATAGACGTCAGAGATGCCTTTAGACTAAACATTTCGTTTCCCAGGCGTTCAATTTTTTTTAAAGTTCTTGCTTTTGACACTCCATTTCTCCAACATATCTCCTAACACTTGTATCAGTCGACTTTAATTCGTTCGTGAATAGTGCTTGAACGCGAGTCGTTAGTTCCGTACTAACTGCCTGGATTTTGCTCTCGTTTAATTCCCACGCTTTACCCCGCATTTCGATTGTCTCTATTCTTTCAACCAGAATACTTGTGACGAGAACCGTGGGGTTCTCTTGTTTTTCCTCGATTTTCCTGATTCTTTCTTCGCACTGATTATGATTTGATTGAATCTCTCTGCCTGTTGCATATGTACGTCGTTTTGCTCGATAACTGTCCGCAGTCGCTGCTCAATCAACTCGTCTAAAATGCTGCCGGTTTGTTTACGCTCATTCAGGTCGGGTTCTTCGTCCTCGTAGACCGAGTGTTCATCTTTGTAGTCCTGGCGGGGTCGCCAAAATGTTACGTACCAAGTTTGTTAAATTAAATATATAACTAAATTAATTATACCCGAGATAAACATAAAACTTTATTTAAAATTACGGCAAGCAAGTTAACAACCTTGCCGCTCGACAGCATAGTTAATAGAGGAGATGGTTTGGAAACTCGTTAGCATTGCAATAAAATCACAATAAAATCACATTATCTATGTTGTTCAGGTTTATGCAAAAATGTGGTCTTTCATCGTCACGTGCGTATTGTATTTTTCTCAAGTCAACAAATAGATTCGTTCAAAATGTCCTATTGTTAAAGTCATGGATAGGCAATTGGACAAAACCGTTGCTATTGGCTAGTTGAGCAAAAATACAATACGCACGTGACGAGGAAAGACCACATTTTTGCATAAACCTGAACAAAAACATAGATAGTGAGGTTTATTGTAATGCTAATAAGTTTCCAAACCATCTCCTCTATTAACTATGTCGACAGCCACAGTCACACTAATTTGCAAGGTTTTGTTCACTGTAATTTAATATATGCTGTTCACGGTTTACTGCACGCATGCACAGATATAACACAATATAAATATACACATAACAATACAATATATTTTTAACTGTAATTGATTTAATCAACTTTTGATATTCAATGTTTACGAGCCCGCGTTTTCCTTAATTTTTTTAATTGAAAGGTTTTGTCGTAAAGGTCATTAAACTTATTAAGAAAAATATTATAGGCAATATTCGAATCAGTGGATTCATAAACTGTTTGCCAATTGAGGAAACCCAAGTTAACTTTAAACATCGAGCGTTCTTCCATATTTGAAAGATTAATGTTAAAATCACCCATATAAGATAATTTAATTTATTCGAAGAGGCCTATAGATTATACCAGTTACAACCTTATGGTTGTTTATTAATAAATAGTGACTGGCATATGTCATCGTCATTAATACCAAGAACAGTTAATTCAATGAAATCAATGTTGTCCCTAATATAAGAGTTTGACTAATGGTCGAGGGTAATAGGTCGAGGGCGAGGGTAGAATGTCGAGGGTCGAAAAAAATGTCGAGGGTCAATTTTTTGACTCTGTAATTTGTTCGCAAATTTTTAGTAACAGAATCAAATACCATTGCATATACGTATCACAATTAATTAATTTGCTTTAGCCCAACGTCAATGTTTTATCCCTATTATGGAATTTGCCATGGCGCAGAGTAAGTATGCTTCGCTATTAAACGCAAAGTTTAGAGGGTCCTGAAGGGGTAAAATGGGAACTGGGATTTGCTTATTTTTCGGGTGGGAAAATGGGATTTCATGCACTGGGATTGGGATTCATCAGCAACAAAACAATAGAAAATGGGAATGGGATTAAGATTTGAGCAGGACAGCCACTGAGATGATGGGATTTGTGCTTTGGGACAATCGGGGATTTAGTCAAAATTTGGGCTGGGAAATGGGAATACGA